TCCAATCACTCCGTGTGCTGGAAAACTGCAACCCGAAACTATAGCAACCAGCATTGCACTCTATCACTAACGGTTGGGTCACGTCATAGTACTTCAGCGTCTTGGTGTTCGATACCAATGATTTCACTCCTTTTTTTTTCGGCTGCTGTCCACTGCCACGTAACTAACTCGGAGATTAGTTTGCGAAGATTCGTCAGGTTACCACTGAGGTTGGGAATGTAACGGCTCAGGTAATTGATCATCCCAATTAACCGATGAACCTCCATTCTGTTACATGGCGTCGCAAAGTTCTTGATAGACGATATCTCGGCCTCATCCAGTCGCAAACCATGATCTGTCAGCATATGACCATACAATTTTACGGAAGTTTCACAGAGATTCGATTGATCGATTCAACGTTGTTTTCTTGTAGACGAATAACGAGCTATTGCAAGCAGTTGTTGTGATTGAGTAGCGCTTCATATCACCACGTAGATGAGCAAATCTTCAGCTTAGCATTCAACGCCCTTTACTCCCTGAATGACGTTCTGCAGCTTGAGTTGAAAAATCTTTGGAGCTGGAGAAACTTCAAACGGCAGACGAGTCCAGTGGTGTCTTCGAATGGTGTCCAGAAAGTAGTCATCTTGCTGCTCGGTTTATCCAGAACGACGTGCCAATAACGCGTGGTGAACTGAAGATGCGGTCGTTTCAAGGCTTTGTTCAGATGGACAGGATCTAAGCAAATACGAATCCCTGGACCAGGCCCACCTCGTTGCACGATGACCAAATTACTGCCCCCCCCCCTGCTTCTCTTTCACAATGATTCCGTCCCTCTCCAGTAATTCAAATTCTTGCTTGAGCTTACCTCGCATTACTATAGGGACCCTCCGGGATGGTTGAATCGATGATTGAACACTGTGATCTATCTCCAGCGCTACTGTGCCTGGAAACTTGCCGTAACCAGCGAACAGATCCGGATGCTCTTCCATGATCTTCTGGGCTTCAACCAACAATCAATACGAAACTAACGATTTTAAATTGGCTCACTACTTGACTAGCCTATTGGTCCCAAGCAAATCGATTAACGTACCCCATTCTAGACAAAATTCCAGTACTACACTATGTTTGTTTTGATTCGCTATGAAAGTTTGACAGATAAAATGAGGGGTTAGTGGATTTTCCTATGTTTCGAGGGGAGAATTGATTAGCTTGGGACCGAAGATAGTACCAGAGCTGAGCCGAAAAGTTGAGCTCATTTCTTCGGGACCTTCTGGTCTTAGAGTTACCTCTATGCTTCAACTCTATGTACGTTCATGCACTTTTCTGACAACATTGATGTACTTACAACATAGATCCGATGCACCAAAGCTGACTGTCTCACAGAATTTTACCATAGAGGTAACTCTAAGACTAGTAGGTCCCGAATAAACGTGCTCAACTTTTTGGCTCAGCTCTGGTACTATCTTCGGTCCCAAGCTAATCGATTCACCCCTCGAAACATAGAAAAATCCACTAACCCCTCATTTTATCTGTCATACTTTCATAGCTAATCAAAATAAACATTGTGTAGTACTAGAATTTTGTCTAGAATGGGGTACGTTAATCGTTTGCTTGGGACCAATAGGCTAGTCAAATAGTGAGCCAATTTAAAATCGTTAGTTTCGTATTGATTGTTGATTTTACTTAGCCAAGCTTACGGGAAGCTCTGGTAGTAAGCAAAGGTCGATGGTCGACGTCCACAATCTGCAGAACCAGAAGATACTTTCGCCCCAATCGTCGGCGTGGCACCTTTACTTGACCCAGCACCATACTTGTCATTCTCCTCTGTGAGAGACAAGAGCTAACATTCTAATCTTCTCCCTCTGTTCGTTCTAGAAAGAGCACTACATGCAGTATATTATTCACTACACCCTTACTGTGTGTGTAGTTTTTGGAATGAACTGCGCGGTGAAATTAGATCACTCTACACTGATGGGAACTAGTGAGCGACATAAGAGCTCAAAAACACTCTGCAGTGAACTCACAGAAGCTCACTCCAGAGAACACTGGAGTGGGAGACCTGGTTGGTCCTCTGGATATAGAGAAAGTGCAATTGTGAATGATTTGACGCTCCGTGTCAATGTTCCATTCGATATTGGATTGTTCAAACCTTGTAGTCGTTACCAATTCAATTCATCTTCTCGTTATACTTCTGTAAAATGCATCAAACTAGCCTTCATAATTCATTTGTGATACTTGGAAATGATCTAGTCTAGCTGATTGAAGCCAACATGGAACATCTAAGCAACCTGTTAATTTTTCAATAGATTTAACTGTCGCTTTGCCGCAACGCGTCCGATTCGGATCTAATATGCGTGGGCCTTAAGGCCGCTACCATAGTGGGAGCGAAGAGGCGCGCTTAGCGTTCTATACCAAATAACTCCTATTATTGATATTATTCCTAACATTCGATTTCACGATTCGCGTGCCTCTTCGCTCTCAGTATGGTAGCGGCCTAAACAAATCAATCTCATGCGCTCGCAATATCACGCGTGATATTGGAACAAAATATCATGCTTGATATTGATTTTACAAGCTTCTTTGATATTGCGAGACTATTCACAGCATGCAAAAATCAAGCTGAGAGTTGACTCGATGCAAAAATGATTACATTGGACATCGTTTTCTTAGGAAGAGAAAGCATAGTTTGCTATCTCTTTTTAATCTTCACCGATGGCAGACGCGAAGGGACATTAAACTCAATCTCACCACGTTTGGTGAGATTTGCAGTTGGTGAGTTTTGTTAGCTTGATATACCGAGCTGCGATATTACAGCTTGCAAAATCAACCGCAGTTTTTTGCTTGTTGATTTTTGTCTACGAAAATCAAGTGTGATCTTGGGCGTTGGTGAGATTTGATTTTTTGATATTTTCTCAACACTGCTCATATGTAGTGACTTACTTGACTTAAAATGATCTTTATTCTTGTATTTATGTGGTTTAAGTGTATGACTTACCAAGTGACACAGATGCGTATTTACAACTTTAGTTCTTATGAAATTGCAGTTATTATTAATTACAGTTCCTGGTCCTATCAGCCCTGTTTAGAGAATGACCATCTGTGATGGGGATTGGTTTGTGTCTCATATGTAGTAGGTCCATTTTATGCTTAATATGCTTGTAGCAAAATACTCGGCAAAATAATGCTTCAACAGCGCTCAAACCTATGCACTGGAGCGTGGGCTCTGCAGTGAAGTTTCTAGAGAGATAAACCCTCGAGAGCTTTTAGGTGAGTGAACTCGACAGCACATTAAATTCATTTCTCTAGAGAGAGAGAGTGATTTTAGTTTTCACCACAGAAGTTCTCAATAAGCACTCTCTCACACTTGGCTTGCCATGTTCTTACCGTTAACGAGGTGATTTGCTCGCATGAGTTGCAATACATACATCCTCAGAGGAGGCAAAATATACGTACGCTAGAGCCACATTTGGGTGAAATGACATCACTGCCCAGCACACTGTTGGGGTTTCCATCACAGCTTTTGTCGTTTTCGTTTTTACTACACTACACCGGTGTAGTGTAAGCAGCAATAAGTGCGAGTAATTGACAGTTCATCATCACTTCTTTGTAAACAAAGGTGCAACCGATAGCTACACCCTAATTTTTTTCGGTGTTCGGCAGTGTAGCACCGGTGCAGCTACACCGCAAAAACGAAAACGACATTTGTAAGCGGAATGATGACGACTGTAGTGCTGTATTTCGATTACCAGTTAGCTCAATCAGGTTAGCGTACCCGATTAGACTGGTGTTTTCACCGGTATCGACATCACAGAGTACTGGCTTCCATTTTTTCAAATACTACAACAGCAGTTCCGCCCTTTTTCTTCAGTATGTGCTTCAAAATTGACCAGTATTTCTCGTCTCCTTGGAAACCACTGTGACGCTATTTTTCGCTGTACCACTGTAGTGGAATTTGAGTATAGGCAATCCATCTCATGCTGCTCCAGAAAAGACAATAGCATATAGGTAACTCTATATAGGTCTCTTCCGTAGGCACTCCTCCTGGTGAATTTGCTGGTTCATCCCAGAAGTAAGGAAACTTTTTCAGCCCACAACTGCAGATTGCTTGCCAAACAAGGAACTTTTTGATTAAATTGGACTTCTTATTAGATTTACATTCTTCCGGGGCACTCTGAAAACTGCCAGAAGCGCATAGACCGGGATTTTCGTTTCGAGCGTGCAGGCTTGAACCGCGCCGTGCTTGCTCTGGTGAAGCCATGATGTAAACAAATGAACTTATCCTGACAACCAATGCCTAGCCCTTCAAAAGGGAAGTAAAACCGTTGGTCCCCGGTTCATGAGTTGATGGGTCGATAGGTAGGGTCCAGGTGTGGGAGCTGCATCCCTGGCGTCGGTAGCACGTAAAACAAATCAAGGGAAAAAAAGAGCAAAACAAAACAAAACCTCGTGATAAGAAACAAAAAGTCCCTGTTGACAACCCGCGGAGGCAATTAGAGTTGCTATAATTTTTGTAACCCAGCGCTGGGGAATCAGGTTTTATCTGGTTTCTAAACTAAACTAGAGACCGATTCGAGGTGTCGTTTCATGAATGAGAACGAGAACAGCGGTGGAGATGCTCTTAGAATAACGGATCTTGTAACAGACATGTCGCAACTATTTTTATCAGTAAATTATTGTTACAGATTATGATAAGAAATATGTCTTTTTCTAATGCTTTTAGGGCATAGTCGATCTAAGTCATGGTTAATTTGGTCAAAATATATCCGAAAAAATAGGGCTTGCAAGAGTAAAAACAATTGCAAGTTTGAATTAATTTCGTCACCCATCTCGACCATAGTGAACATTAGGAAACCTCTGAGAAAACATCTGTAGGGTATTGCGTAAGACATATTCACCTTCGACAACTTACAGCTTTGTTTAATCAGCCGTTGCAAGAACGTTATTTGGAGTTGGGTTGTCGCACCGAATGCAGCAATAAACTACCCACCATTCATACACCAGTAGGGTAGTCAATCGTTCGTCGCACTCACCTCGTCAAATATGGTCCATTCCGTCGGTAGTTCACCGCTGCTGATCCTCTGGATCCTTATTATAACTTCAACCGTTAAAAACGCCCTCAGTCATCCGATTGTGAACGGAGCCCCACCACGGGACTCGCACCAGTTCCGTTTCGCCGTTTCCCTACAACGGATGCTAGCCAATGGAACGCTGATGCACTTTTGCGGTGGAACCTACCTGGGAGCAGGCTGGATCCTAACGGCCAACCATTGCACCGTCGGGAGGTACCATCATATGAATTGGGTAGTAGGTATTTTAGTTGAATTTTGATTTTAATTTCAGCATCAAAGATACCGAGATGTACGCCCTCCTAGGTGGACTCCCCCTAAGCACCGGGAATAAATCCACTTTGTATCGGGTTCGACAAGTGTTCAGCCATCCGGATTACAACGCGTAAGTTTTCCAATCCGGATACGAACAATAAGGCTTTCTTTTCTTCGTCCTCAACAGAGTCACTCTGGGCGGCGATATCGCGCTGCTTCGGCTCAGCAGTGCAACCGACCAGAAGGATTCATATTCTCTTCCACTGCTTGACAAGATGGTATCCAATACCCTTTTATTACCATCGCCATCGAATAACCCTAGTAACAGCAACAGTTTCGGTATGCTAAACAACGAAGTCGGTGAGGCGGCTATCGGAGAGGAGTGTCACATTTTTGGTTACGGATCGGCTTCCTTCTACGGTGCCGTCAGCGATAGGCTGCAGTACGGACCGGTGCGGCCGCTGAGCTTCGACCGGTGCGTGCAAATGCTGGGACCCGTTGTGGCTCCGGTCGCACCTAATTCTGGAATGTTTTGCGCGATCGGCATTACCGATTCTTGTAGGGTAGGTGATCCGAATCGTACTTACGAGCTAAACTATATATTTGCATTGTCTTATATCGACAGGGAGATTCCGGAAGCGGGCTGGTGTGCCGGCGAAGGATACGACGATCTTTTCGGGATAATGGCGAGGTAAGACCATACACGCTACGCGGAATCATCTCGTATGGAGCGGGTTGTGGAGCTCCGGCTTCGCCCGGGGTCTACACCGATGTGGGCTTCTATCGCCGGTGGCTCGACGAACGAATTTCATCCAGCCTCTTGCTTCAAATGCCTAATGTTTTTTGAACTGGTTTCGATATAATTGTATGGATCTTAATTTCTAATTTGGCACGAAACGAATATCACCCACCCTACTGCTTCATCGGTTCCCGGTCGTCGGTTAGGTCCGCTTCCTGTTTGACGTGATCTTTGAGGGCCGCGTCTTTCGTTTCCGGATGCAGAAGGGTGAGGATGCCGGCGAGGAGAATCGTGATGCCGCAGATCGTCGTTGGAATCCACCAGGCTAGTTGGCCAAGCAGGTCCACGATGTAGGGAGCAGCAATCGATCCGACGTGCGCCATTGTCGAGCAGATTCCGAGGGCTGTATTTCGGATTTCCGTAGGGAATAGCTCCGCCGTGTGGAGCGTGAGTACGGCATACACGGCCGTAATGCCTAGGCGACCCAGCATGGCCAGCGTAACCAGAAGGGTTGTGTTTTCTTTGGATATTCCGAGCATTGCCAGCAGACAGATTCCCGCGTACATGAAGAAGCAGAACGATGTACTCCTGCGGCCGTAGTATGCGAGCACGATCATCGAGATAATGTACGCCAGAATGTCTACCGAACCGGTGGTGGCCACGTAGACATTCCGATTGGCCGCAAAGTTGTCGGCGTTGAGAGCGGTCACGTAATAGCAGAGCGAAGTGACACACCACACAAAGTGGCAGATCAGTGCCCGTCGGCAGATAGCAGCCGTTCCGTAGAGTTTTCCAAACTCGCTGAATGATTGCTTGAACCGTACGAGCAAGGATACCTTCGGTGGTTCAATGTCCTTGGCAACGGCTGCGGCCAGCTCTTCCGGGCTAAGTTCCTTCTCGCTGTTACAAAGCTCCTCGGGGGCCCGTCGGCCGAATACCATCCGATAGGCGCGACGTTCCCGGCCTTTACTCAGAAGCCAACGGGGTGATTCCACCAGGAAGCTGCAATGAATCGGGAAGAAGGGGGTTTAGATTGACATTGAAACCCCTCGATTCCAGCTCGCGTATACTCACTAGAGATGAATGGCCAGAAAGAAAGACGGAATCGTCAGAGCCAGCGATAGGTCCCGCCACGAATGAAGGTAGTAAGCGGCCAGTGCCAGAATCAGCGTACCGATCGGGTAGGAGAAGTTGAACGCAATGCTCATCCACGATCGATGCCGCGTTCCGATGTTTTCCGTTACTGTCAATATTGAAATGTAAGTGGCAATGCATCGCGCAAGAATCTTCATCGTACTTACGCATTGCGAAGGCCGGATAGAACACCCCGGAGGCAGACGCCCCCAATCCAATTCGTCCCAGCAGCAGAAGAATATATACCGGCGAGAACGTGGTCAACAAACTGGCCACCACATAGAGCAGAGCAGCTATGGTGAAGCTGCTCTTGCGGCCGTACTTATCCGACAGGATTCCGAACGTTGAAGCTCCGAAGAATTTCCCCACCGATAGTGCCACTTGAACGGTCGACCGCAGGGCTGTCCGCTCGCAAATCAGATCCCACTCGGGAACGATCGAAGCCCCCGGTTCCTGTTGATAGTGCATTTGGAAACCGGCTGTACCCAAGCAGGACACCTCGCCGGGTTGAGGTTTACCGCCGACGTACGCCAGCGCATCCTGATAGTCCATCTCCGCCAGCCGGTCGTAATCCCAGTTGAGAATCGAGCACGTGCCATTCGTTGCGACGCCACTGAAATTGAAATCACACGTTTATTAACTCAAACTCGAATGTAAGGCGCAGGGAATTACCCAACGGTGGAAATGTTCCGGATTTCGTCATGGGTCCATCCTCGCTGCAGCAGATCCGGCACGACACAGTAGTAGTTGTCTGGCATCTGGCCCAGGAAGACGTACGACGACACGTGGAAGCCATTGAGGATGTTCGGCGTCAGGCAGAGGATGAAGAGAACCCTGTGGTGTGAGCGAACATAATGTTTCGTTAATCTCCGTCTCGAAAGATACTTCATGTGCATAAACGATAACGACCAGAAACTGGTTTAGGATAAATGCGAGGTCGAGCATGTTTGCGTCAGCCCGTTGCCATTGGCAATACCAGATGACAGGAATGCAGAAAAATGGCAAATCACTCGCATATTTACAGAAAGCCTATCCGCCTGACGAACTCAGTGAAGGTTCAATGATTGGGAGAACTTGCATAATTCGACGCAACTGACAGCCACAGCATGCTATGAAAGATGATCATCTGACGTCAAATGCTATTTTTTTTTTCTCTGAATTGGCAATACTAATCAAGTGCTGCTAAACTGCCTATAATCGCATATCAGTCCCATATGGATTGTCGTCACGTTTAAGTTAATAACGCTATCCACTATCAATTGGCATCTACTTTCATATTATGTGATAAAACTACGGACTTTGATCATGATAAATGCGAAAACAACATCGCAGTTCCATCCTGAAATTCAATTGTCCATAGTTCTGCTTTTCGAATTGTCATATTTTTCACTGATATAACAAAACATGCAAACTTCATTACAACTGATTTTAGCTTAAATAAATTACCAATAAATGTAGTATGATTTTTCAAATATTAACATGGGAATTGCACTTCGTAACTTCGACTGCCATTTGCTCAATGCCTACTTTTTCGTATGGGACTGATATGCGAACATGCGCAGTATATGTGACACTGACTGCGATGAGTGATGCGGCTTGGTTGGATTATCTCGATGTTTATATGGGAAACAATTAGACACACAGTACAGGTAGGTATGTTTAGTATGGCCGTTTGATGGTCACTTTGGGTAGCGTGATCATGCCACGTTTTGCTGGGTGCGTGAGATAATTAGATAGTTTGCATGGTTCCTTATTAGTTAATCACTTGGCCGTATCAGCACATCCAATGCAATCTTGTTACAATGTTCATGATTGGAAGGAAAGTAGATACCAACCGGGAAGTTTATCGTTTTACTACACACCTACTGGCGACGCATTGTAAACTGTCATCCTGGCATTGACGGTTTATTCAATTAGAATGTTGTTTACCTACAGAGAGGTATCGTTATGAGCGGATGGAGCTTTAGCCACTATTCCTTTTTCCCAATTCCTAGCTGCTATGAGATGGATAATAACTAGGTAGGTCATGACTTTTCATACACATTTCCTGACAGTTGGTGAAAGGTCATTTTGGGTTCAAGCTGCTGCACGGGTAAGTTGGACATTGATTAGCTGCGTCGTGGGTGATTTGCCCATAATTAATATCGGCGGATTTTCACAGCTGCCATATGCTGCCCTTTTCAGCATAGTTGTCCCATTCGTTAAAACAGCAAGCTGAGAAAAACGCTGTCGAAGATTTTTTTCTCCATGGGCTCTTATGGATGGGACAACATAGTTTTGTTATTTTTCGCGACATTTTCTGAACAAAGTAGGATTTTTTCGTGTACATTGTAAAGTGATGGTACTTGACAATCGATTCCAATGTATAACTCATAATCGCCAAAAATGCTAATGGGACTGTTATGCCGCACAGGGCAGTATGGATGTTCGTCAATTTTAAGATAATAACGGTATCCACTAGCAATTGGCATCTACTTTCATATTACGTGATAAAACTACGGACTTCGATCATAGGAAATGTGAAAATGTGAAAACAAATTCAAGTCAGTTTGTTCCATCAAGCAAAGTAATCGCATCAGTCCCATCCTGAAATTCGATCATTCAAAGGTCAAGTTAAAGTTCTGCTTTTCGAATTGCCATATTTTTCGCAGGTATGTATAACAATACATGCGTACATCATTGCAACTGATTTGAACTTGACAAAATTACCGATTAATTTACTATGATTTGTTTAATATTTACATAGAAATTGCACTTCTTAATTTCAACTGCCATTTTCTCAATGCCTACTTTTTCCAAATGAGACTGATATGGGATTATAGGCAATATGGTAGTAGGAATACTGACCACAAATGGTATCTTTATGATAGAAATCCAGGCATCAAGGAATCCAGAAAAAAATACTACCGACTAAAACTCAATCCGCAAACAACGGTACCTCTCTGTAGTTTACAGTATACAGATGAGCACAGTATAATGTAAGTACCTACCGGGTTTAAGTTGCTGTCATTATCATTATCGTCCAGTCGTCAGTCGTTAACCGTTGTTCTAGTTCTGTATCGAACGGTCAATTACACTACATTCATGGCTCTCCACAAAAGAGAAAGCTAAGCTCATTACTGGTCGAATGGCTAGTCTGTATAATCTATTCACATAGGTACACTACTCACTATCAATGAATGACAATAATACGTAATAATAGTAAAGTGGACGGCACTGATAAGCGTAACATGCCACTACTAGTACTACAAGGGTTGTTGATTGCGGTTCGCAGTGATTCGGTCATGCGATCGTTCCATAGGTCATTTTTAACGGATCTAATTATTCTGCTTCTTCTTCTTTGACTAGTCCAACGTCCTTCAAGATTTCAAGACCTGCTTTCGAATGTTGCGCCAACTAATTCGATTGGTGACTGGTTGCCTCCAGTTTCAGTGTCTTGAGCGTCCCACACTTACTAGATTTTGATTCACTTGGTCCAACCACTAGCGATGGTCGGGTTCGATGGCATGAACTTCAAATGTAAGGGTGGATCTCTAACATCCACTGCATGCTTTCTTCCAACAGATGTAATGTCAGTTCTTACAATGGACTGTAGCGTACAAACAAGTTTTTTGCTAGAACGAATATGGAAACCTTAACTAAATGCGGTGAAACATTACAAAGTCTGCATGTTTTTTATGCAAATCTGAAATAGAATCTTACATTTTCCGTTTGGGTGTATACACCACCAAAAATAGTACACTGAACCAACGAGAAACGTAAATTTCACCTGAAAATTCACGCAACTTCCTAAAAGTACGAATTACTTGCTAAACTTAATATGCAATGCACAGTGGTCCAGGAAGCAAAATTAGGTGGAATAAATTAATAACTCGAAAAATATTAGAGATAGCGTATTGACGTCTTCTAAACATTTTCTTGTGAGCTTTATTCGCGTTGGTTGCAAAAGTGTCCTAAACGCCAAATTCTACCAGCAACGTAATTTGGCTTCTAACTTTTTTATTTCAATAGATAGAGAAATTAAATGTTCTACAAAGTTGTGAACTATAAAAAACTAGAAAACTTTTTTCAACATCGTTTTTGTCTTTCTCTTTTATATTTGGAGATATAAGCCATTTAAAAAAACAAAAGCCGAAAATCAGATTTTCTGTCATATTTTATTTAAATATCACTTTTTTGGCCTACTACACACTTAGATTTTTCTACCGAGATCGGCTGTGCAAATCTCGGCAAAAAAAGTTTTACTGAGATATCAGCAAACATTTCATTTGTTTGCTGAGATTCAGCTAAGCATTATCCGAGACTCAGCAATCAAATGTCACTTTTGCTGAGATCTCAGTGAAACTTATTTTGCCGAGATTTGCACAGCCGAGCTCGGTAGAAAAAATTAAGTGTGTATGTTCAGAACGATTATAGTTAATTTTAAAATACATATTTGCTCCAAAGACACTATACCAGTACAAGTCTCCTGTCAAAAGTTATCGTCAGTTTTGTAGTCTTTTAGCTCAAATTTTCAAGCGTAATATTTCAAAATGGCGCAAGTACAACCGATAGTGATACATATCACTTTAAAAAGCATATCAAGAAGTACATTTTAGCAACTTTTGGTGAAGGTAATTTTTGATTTTTTTAAATAAATGCACTTTGAAAATAGGGGTTTTTATTCCATAAATCTACATTGTTCGGACTTCTTTCGAGTATTAAAGAACCAGATGGATGATTTACAGTAAATATTTATATTTACAACTAGTTATATGCTACTGACTAAACCAAAAACAAAAAATACATAAAAAATAAAGCTAGTTTTCAAAAATTAACTGCTTGGCTTTATCTGGTAGTGCAGGATTGTTCAAAGACAAAGATGCTCTATTGCTTAATGAAATCACAGGATCTGATGATAAAAGCAATCTGTTGAATACATCCGTAATTTTAACCGTTCTGTTGAATTTTCGGGAGTGGAGCTCGCGATATCTCCGGATGCATTTATTCCTCGTCTCCTGAACCTCTTCGCTGCACATTTCAATCGGAAGTACCGTGTATTTAATAATGCCAGCCCCATGGACTAGCAATTTTTGCACTGTTGGAGACAATGCATACCAACCGTATAATTTCTGGTATAAAGCTCTAGTCTCTTCAGCATAAATTTCAAAAGAATTATAATTAATCTTCGACTTACAGTTAATTACAGTAAGCAGAATATGAAATCGCTCCAACAGATTTTCATTGAGACCGGTAATTTTTGCTGCAGCTTTCCATTCACGGAAAACTTCCGGGCGGTATTTCCGTCATTAGAATTTCCGCCACCAGGCATAGGCTCACTGATGCGTAATCCTGTTAAAAAGGACAAAATCTGGTAAAATCTTATATCTTCAAAAACAAAAATATAATGTTGCAAATTGCTAACCATACGTACCTAATTCCGCACGTATCTTGCTTCGAATTTCGATTTCTCTAGCTTTCACCGCTTCATTTGCCTTGCTTACACGCCATGTAGGTTTATCAAGGGCCAGTATATACGACACTTTCAGAACCATTTCCATCGTTCTAATATATGCATGCAGAGGAGAAAACCCGAATTTGTACTTGGCTGGATCATCAGAATCTGGATCGCTTCTGGAATCGTTCAAACATTTTCCAGACCTTCCACAAATGTAGCATGATTGAGAGTTCGTTCCGGTTAAATCATTTACGACTTTTGTATCCAGCATTGTGAACATCATTTGGGGTTTTACACAAACAGATCGGTTCTCCAACATTACTTCCACATTCATCAAATTTTGTATTTGCGTATTCATAAGCGAAACCTCCCGTTTTGTCAACTCGGTTGACTCTTT